CTCGTATATAAACGATTTCTTATTATTCGGACCTAAAGAGAAACGACTTTATAAACTCGCGAATATAATTAAAGAAAAGGTTAAGGTAATTAACCTAAAAGACGTTAATTAGTTTCTCGGGGTCCGGATAAAACGATTATTTCCTACGGGGGACGTCCGGCTCGATTAATAATAATATACGGAAAAGGCTTTAAAGGAGCTTAATTACGGCGATACGAAGCTATATCCGTTACCGTATAACCCGAAGAATCGGAACGCGGTCGTACCGAAAAAGGTTAACGATAAAGCCGACCTACGAAAGGTTTAAAAGTATGCCTCGTTAGTAGGAAAAGCGAACTTTCCGGTATATATTACGAGGCCTAATATTAGTTACGTAGCTTCGACCTAGGCGCGTTTTATAAATAACTCCTTATAGGAGTATTAAACGGAAATTAAGCGCGTAATACGATATCTTAAGGAAACGGTAAGCCGAAGGATCCGGTATCGGTAACTAAATAAAAATTACCCTTATAAAGAATATAACGAGATAGGTTTCCACGGCTACGTAAACTCGAACTACGTAGGAAATATCTCCATAACTAAGTTAACGAATAGTTACGTATTCTTTATAGCAAGAGCTTCGATCGTATAAATATCGAAGCTTTAATCGGTAGTTACGCGAAGCTCGGAAAAGGTTAAGTATATAGCCTTATCGACGGCGGTAATAGATACCGCGTAAATACGTAATTTCCTTACGGAATTAAGCGTAATACCCGTAGGCCTTATTACCTTACGATACGATAATACGACGGCGAATACGTAGGTAAAAGAAACCGCGATAAATAAGCAAAAGCGGTACATCCGAAAGAACTACTACTACGTAAGGCAAGAGATAAAAGAGAGGTACGTTAAGCTAAGATACGTACCATTAGCTAAGAACGCGGCTAATAAACTTACGAAGTCCTTAGAGGCGAAGAAATATTAGAGGTTTATTAAATTATTATATCTAAAGAATCCGTAATAGCCTTAAACGAAATAAGCATATAGATAAAGAAACAAGGGAAAATACTACGGAATTAAGGCCTTACGTTATTTAAGAGCCTAACGATAGCCTTACCTAGGCTAAGAAGGCGTATAGGCGCGTAAGTACGTAATCGGTTACGTATAACTATAGGATAAGCCCTATCCTAGCGAGGACTAATCGGGATATAAAAGGCACGTAAAACGGCTCCAAAAGGCCACGTAGATAACTGTAATTCAATTAACTATTCACCCGTTCCTTAGATGGCCACAGATAGTATATTAAGGGTCCACTGAAAAAGAAACTCGGCTTGTTAACGGCTACACGGCTAAGGACCTATCTTACCCTCGAGAACTATATATATATAGAGAGATAGCTCTGGTAGAGTAACGGCTATGAATATATTTACGACGGATACCAAGTGCTTATTAGTGCCAAGCTAAAGTGTTATGTTTTCATATTAGCTAGAGTAAGCGAGATTAGCGAGGGATCTATTCGGAGAGGAACTAGTAAAGGGCTGCGTTATAAGGTTAGTATTACGATAAACCTTCGAGGACCTGCGTTAATACGTATAGGATATTAAAATGCTAGTCGCATGGAAGGATGGCGAACTAGAATTACGTTTTAATTTAAAGAGAGAATTTGCTAAAGGAATGTATAATAAGGAACAGCAGAGGTGAGTTTAGATATATCCCAATAGAAAAACGTAGTTTAGACGCTAATAAAGCGGCTGGGAATAGGTTAATATATATCTTATATAAGCATTTACCCGATTAGCCTCTTATTATTAATCTAATGCTCTTCATGCTAGCTATATTCCTCGCCGCGGGAGCATTCAAAAAGTACGATACTATCGAATAGGTCTTGGCCGTCAAACCGCTAACGGACCAAAAGTACTGGGTTCTTAAATGGGCTGATCACGTCCACGCCTTGGATCTCCCTATCTTTCCGGAGATATCACCAGACGGTCCGACTCAGAAGATCCAGTCAGCTTCTGCGTTCTGCACTCAGGTCAAGCAATTATTACTACGGGTAGGAATGGAACAGCCCGTAACAGTACACGGCATCCGCCGGGAGAGCCTCATCCAAGCTATAAGTAGGACTTTTTACCCATTGCTCTATATCCTAGTCAGCTAATCGGAGTTAGGCAATAATTACTCGAAAGGCGAGTTAATAAAGTTCGCCGTACATACGAACTAAATAACGATAATAAGAGACTATTTAAGCTCTATTACTGTCGTAGATGGTCTAGGAGGCTTCCTTAAACTGCCTCTTCGGAGCGACTAAGCCGAGGACTTCCGGTCTATAACTATGAAGAGAAACCCTGAACTTTTCCTATCGTTACCTACAAAGACATAGGACGAGCTAAGACAGAGGGAAGATTACGTCGCCATTATAAAGAAGCTCGAGGATCTCTCTTTTAAGACGAATGCCAAAACTCGGACGGTACTTCTCAAGTAAAGACGCATGCTTAAGAAAGAAGAGCTGAATAGAATCCGTAGTACCCAGGACCGGATGCACCCGGAGGAGCGCGAAGGGAAAGGGAGGTATCATATAGACCAAGACCGTTCCTGGTTCGATCGCCTTCGACATATAATGCCAGAACGCGAAAGACTCTCATAAGCGCTCTTCTCCGTTTCTCCGCTACGAAGCCCGGAGGGTGTATCGGCTGTTAAGGATCTTCTTTCTCTTCTAAAGAGCAACTACCGAGTTGCTTATCAACCGTCACTCCGGCCGTGGCAGGACAAATGTCCAGTGCTACATTATGGAGTGGACCTCGAACGGTAAGGACAAATTCAGAGCCGAATTCGGCTTCTTATTGCTAACGCGTTCATCTACTCTAGGATACATATTGACCACAGATGGAAGCACGTCTTCGAATGCTCTATAGCGTACTATAAGGGAGGATATAAGTTCATCGAATTTTGCTCCATATATTACCGTAGAGTAGCAGGCCTAAAGTCATAGGAAAGCCACTACCAAGAGTACATCGATAGACACGAACTACCTCTGCGCTGCGACTTCGTCAAGTTCCGCCGAGCCATCGTTTACGCCGGAAGATACATGACATATATGTATAACGAACGACTGCCTCCCTTTCGACGGCTATACGGTTTTAAGAAGCAAGTGAGCTAAGAGAAACACATTAACGATTACTTCCCTATATATATAGGGAAGCTTAGTACGGCGAAGGTACTTCCGTATCCGGACCCCGATTACTCCATAGCATACGAATTGGAACAGGACTTATGATATCATCTCTAAGATACCTATAGCTATCCCCCCCGAAGCGTTAAGACGAAGACCGAAAAAGAACGGGATGTCTTTATGAATAAGGGACGTTCCCCTGTCGAGAAAAAGCGTCGCCGAGTTTACGTCGAGAAAGATATTAGTAGCTTTAAGTCGACATTAACAGAAAGCATTAAGCCGGAGGCCAGATCTATTTAGCCCATACCGATTCCTTCCAGCCCTTATAGCAGTAAACCGAAAATAAGCATTAACTCCTCCGGTACCGGTACGCCCTAGTCCTTAGTTTCTAACGTCGATTCTCTTCTTAAAGTATGCCCGTTAATCGCGTCGATTTCATTACCATCTCTTAGCTTTACCGGTAGGGAGAACCTTTGCGCCAACGAGCATACCACATCTCCCTCTTCGTCTTCATGGTTACCTAACGGCCCTAACGCATGGGGCTGGACGGAGGGACGAGCATGTTAGGCCGATATAGCGCTGTCTCTCATCTCTTATGATATGTTTCAAACGACCCTCGAGGATAAATATAAGGGGAGTATATCTAATATTCAACCTCCCCTCTGTCAGATCTCCGATCCTGTCGATTCGACGGATATCATTACTGCACATGGCAACTAAGGCGCATGTCCGGAGAAATAGGCAAGTAAAAGCCTGCGGGTTACTTTACCTTTATCTATAGTCCCCATTAAGTCGGTTAATCCGGAGCTACGGACGGACTTATTATCTACCGAGTACATGGAAGGAGTAATAACAGAGTTATATTCTATCGGCCGAGGAGGTACCGACGATAGCGGGCTCCTCTAACCTACCGTAATCGACGAGGAGGACGACATATGGGAGGTCGAGGCATTACTTGCTAGATGGAAGCAAGGGAGAAGAGTTATATACCTTATAAAGTAGAAAGGCTTCTCTAATGAAGCTAACTCGTAGGAGAAACGAAAGAACATAAGCACTAAACTAATCAATACGTTTAACATAGCCTATTCGAAGTACGGAGGGAATCATTAAGGGGTAGATTTACTCGATAAACGGATACATCAGGGAAAGGCTGAGTACTTCGTAAGGTGGAAGGGACTTCCTGGCTCCGAAAATTCTTGGGAGAAGGAATCAACCATAAGCCATGAGCGGATTAGAGAGTTTGAGGCACGCAGGAGAGGGAACACGTCAGAGCTTTGAACCAGCTGCGGATGAAATCATTTTTTGTTTGTTGGGGAGGTGGGGGGGCTACTTCCTAGTAAGCAGGGTATACCTTCATGCATCGAGATATAGGATTTTCGAACCATCCTGGCTGAAGTCGTCACAGCATCTCTACCTTGGGGGCTCGGTAACCAGTGCCCAGATTTGGGGGCAGATGTCCAGAAATAGGGTTAGTGACCTAGAATTAGGTCAGTGGCTGGTCTGAGAATTTGGCGTTAGTGGCACGGAACTGGCCGCCGCCGTGGCGAGCAAATGTTCGTTGCCCGCCCTTCCTGGCAACGGTCCGCACATTCGATGCTTGGGAAATTCCGCATGGCTAATACTGTATAACGGGGAGCGAAACCGGTGTCCTGTATTGGATATTATTACATTTTCAAGAGAGAAGTAAATCGTTTCTTGTTTTTACCACGCTACAGTTTTTAGGAGCTCGCTTTAGTAGGGTTCGGGTCCTAGGTTCAGGTTCCAACTATAGGCAATTCTTTTTTTTCCCTTTGGCGCCGTAACCGCAAGTAGTACCTTCCTGTCGTGTGCAGGGCCATATCTATACACATGCAAGCAGAGCTGGATCCCACCCCGGTATCTTGATCATTCCATTGCGCGACTCTACGTTACGCTGCGGTTCATGGCCCTATCGAAGGACGTGTCCTTTCTCAAGTCCTCCAGTATAGGCAATACTTTGTCCAGGCCAACGAAGCATCTCGCGACACAGTTCTTGAAGTAGTCGACCGTGGCTGCACAGTCTCTAACCTGGCCTTCAAGCCATTGTTGGTTGCTATGCAATCGACGGTTTTCTTCTTCCACGAGCTGTCTCTGTCTCGATTCTGCGTCTGCTCTACTTCTCAAGTCCCAAACGTCTTGGGAAAGCTTCCAATTTTCCTCCCTGAGCTTGTCGATCATGACGCTGAAGCTAGCTCCTGGGGTAGTCAACTGCACAGAAAGTTAGCGTTAGTTTGAGACTAGACTGGCTTGACATACAGCTATGACGGAGTCCAGTGCTGAGCACTGCGTACTTGAGGGTACGGCCTCGAAGGTCTTTCCGACCTCTCTGCATAGCAGTCGGTAGGTGCTGATAGAATGGTCGCTTAAATTCTTGGCGAATATCTTGGAAATGAACTCCTCTTTATCTGGGAGGGCTCGCCAGCTGTACGGATCGTTCGCGCGGGGCTTCAGGCGGACTTCGGAGGGCTTTATTTCAATCCCGAGTTTCTGGTCTAGAGGAGTCAGCTAGGCTGCCGGTATAGGGATGTATTTCCTTACGAATGTGTTTTGCCAGTTTCTCGCGGCACTCGTCCCTTCCCCGTCGGCGTTCCGTATTACTCTGACGTATTGGAGCCATCTCGATTAGTGTCTCCGGGTTTAAAACGTAGAGGATCTGTGGAAACGGATCACATTTCAATTATTTCGAGGGAATGATACATACATACTCATTCAGGACTATAAAATCCTAGACCTTAGAACTGGGCCTCTTCAACTACTTGTCGTCGAACGGATGACGCACTTTCCGAGAAGGGGCCCGAATCTGGGTCGCTGCCATGTCTGGGGACCTTTTATGCTTCTAATTACCGCGGGCCAATTGCATCTCGAGTGTGCGTTCTGACGGTACCGAAAATGGCCCACCTGCATAGGAGCCAAGGTAGGACCCCGGTGGAGGAGGTCCAGAACAAGGAACAGGAAACATGACAGAAATGGCCCGAGACAGTGGCCTGGTCACGGGATGGCGCGACAGAATGTCACCACCTTTTTCGACATATGAGAATAGCCTTGAAACTTGGTCAGGATGTCTATCGCGAGGGCTACCGAAGTGTGGTAAATGGCATTCTAGCCTGTGTATCCGCAGTGCCACAGCGCCATCTCGGGGACACAAGGAAGCTTGCCGCAAGCCACTCGCTCGCGTGGGCCGAGCAGACCCACTGACCACACCTTAAAGTCACCGAATTCATCTGATTTGCCCTACAGGAATACCTACATGACGTCCATGAAGGAGACATGCTACTGCTAAACATTTCACTCCATTGTAGACAATGTCGGCTCTGACTCCATTTCCAATATCCGGACCCTCCACAACTGAGTGCGAAGTGCCTTATCCCCTTAGTTGGCCTCATAGCTGACTAAGTACAGCCCCTTGACGGAGCCCATAGGTACTATGGACGCTTCGTTTCTTCCTGTCGAGGTACCTCTACCAGTACAGAGGCTCTAATATTCTCCATATACATATTAACCGTACCTCGAGCCGGTGGATTAGTCGCCCCTCTTCCATACGCCGGGAAGTTCTTTTTTTTACCCAATCACGGAGGCGAAGACCTTGTCGCCATAGAGTCAATTCGCTGCCCACAGCCTAGCGCCATACGAACTTCGAAGTCCTGAACCGGCATCTGAGATACTTGTGCCAAGCTACGGACAGGATTTCACAAGGTGGACGCCAATACCACTCAGCAATCCCTGTTCATGCTCTGGGAGCCAAGGAAGCAGCGTTTAGGATTCATGTTCCATCACTGATATCGCTCTGTCCTCTCTATCCAAGACTGGACACAAGAAAAAACTAATGACCGGTGCGGCCCCCGGTAGCCAAGCAGCAAGCCAGCCGGTCCCGATAGATGCCGAGAAAAACATAGGGGAAGTTGACATGCTGCTCGGCAAATGGACCCGAGGTGGGACGACTTGGTACCCTGTGAAGTGGAAGGGCTTTCATGACAAGGATAGCACGTGGGAGAAGCGAAGAGACATATACGCTGAGCTAGTCGATGAGTCGAGTTATGAATGGAACCACTTTGCGATTAAACGATTACTTGTGGAATGGAAAGGTCCGGGCGGTGACAATTCCTGGGAGAAGGAGGCGGGCATAAGTTATGTCGTGAATGTACATTTTAGGGTTTCCGTCCCAGACGTTTGGTCCTCAGGCAGAGCTGTTGGTTCCCGCCGTCCGTGCTCTTTGATTAAAGCCGAGCCGTGCATACACTGGGCTGCGATGACGTTAGGTCACTGTTCGTTTTTTTCACCAGTGTTAAATTCGAACCATGTGTCAACATGACTAATTCTGGGATCTAAATTTAGGACCTGAAGGTGGTTCAGAACAATGGCCTTTGCAGAACTGGGATTACATATCACGCACGCGAGCCGATATATTTTGAGCATTCTGCAAAATGGCCCGAATCCCGGGCCCATATTCGGTCCCGGATTTTGGCGAGAATATACCAGTACACGCCCTGGGATGGTGCAACATAGCCATATAAAGTGTACTGGTATATACAATGTACCGGTATATAAAATGTACTGGTATATAAAATGTACTGGTATATAAAGTGTACTGGTATATAAAGTGTACTGGTATATGTTTTATACCAGTACACTCATGACTGGGATAGGAAGCATACTAGTAAACCTCTCGCTTAAAAAGCGCCAAGCACTGTACACAAACGAAATGGGTAGTATGAAATAACATCATTCTTGAACATGAACCACGCCAGACATCTGTATGCTCGGCCTTCTCGCGCTGCCAAAAGGAGCTTGGCTGATACGATATACACTCCGCCGCGGTATTCGCTCCGTCATCACGCCAGGACCGGTCCACACGAAGCTCTTGAAGTCACGCTTGTCTCCCAAATTGACCTCGAGATGGATGTGGAAAACTGTGTCTTCTGCCTCGAAGTATTAGGCGGGAACAGAAAAGCTTTGGAGACCTGCGGCTGTGTAAGTTCTATAGTTCCGCTTAAGTCCACTTGCACTGACATGAAAAAGGTTGTCTGTCTGGAATGTGCAGACGGCATTACCATGGCGCAGTGTCCACGCCCGGAACATGCGCATATGAAACAAAAACTCAGACGGCTTTTTGACTCATCGTGTATGGTATGCTACGAGGAAAAACCTGTCATGATAGCTCCGAAGTGTGGTAAGAATCCCACCTAGCTAAACCGGAGTTTGACACTAACACATCTAGGTCATATCTACTGTGAGCTGTGCTATCGCAGGATCTGCCGTGATTGGAATAAAGATTGCTCTATATGCAGGGAACGAATGGCACATGCCCGGTATATTCGGCCTGCGCGGTGTGGAAGGCTGACGTGCAGATGGAAGAGAGTGGTACGATTTGAGAAACGTTGAGTTGAGCCTGATGCCTCGACTGTCTGTTTATTTACTTTGCTGCCTTCGCCAGGCCTACCGATACATTTTATTGGGGCAATTTTAGATCCTGTGTAAAAATAAATCCCAGGAGATTATTCAGCGGAACCATTGTAGCTTAGGTAAAAGTTCCCCTGTTCCCAGAGATCCTAGGTTTTTTTACAGCGGCAATATTATTGCATAGGAAAGATTGCCGCTGAAAAAAACCCGCTGCTCTCAAAAATCCTAGGAACTTTTGCAGCGGAAATCTTATTTAAAGAAAGCAGGAATCCAAAAACAGAGCTATTAGGGGTTGAAAAATGGCCACCATAGGAGGAATTGTTTATGGACCCCAGGAGCAGCAGGGGGCTTTGTCATTTCATCTAACGACTGCTTTAGTAAAGCTTAGCTGACTCACAAAGCATAAGAGGCACCGACTACATTGACTAGGTGTACCGCCCTATTACATAATCACTGAAACACGTGACGTTTTGAGCCCCTCGCCGCATTTGACTGATCAGACGAAATCGCCAGAAATGCCAGAAAACATCTATTAAGAACGAAATAACTAGGGATTACTATACAAAAGCTGTTGCCGTGCTGTGTCCTCCTCTATGAAGTCTATGAATAGCTGCCTTTCAACCCGGGCCGGCACCGGTCCGCCGGTACCGGTACGGCGCGCCTGAATGCGGGCCTTCATGACCTCGTCAAGCCGAATCTCCTCCTTCTTCTCCCAGTCAATATACGCCTCAACCTGCTCCCTAGTCCATGCCTTCTGGCTCTTTGGTGGCAGGCCCATGACCTTCCAGTCCTTATAATAGTTATAGTCCGAAGGGCTGAAGCGAATCTGTAGACCAGTAGCACGTCGATACTCTTGATTCGTCTGAAGGCTGCTACGTGGTTGCTGGTTATACCAGGTCTGACGTGCTTGCTTATAGCGATCGTATATAGCACGTGGGTTATCATATGCCTCTGGTGATGCAGCCTCTGGTGATGCCGGTGCTTCTACTACTATACGAGCTATTCTCTCTGGTGTTGTATAAGTAATAAATACAGCACGTGGAGATATAGCCTCTGTGACCGTATCTGGTGCCTGATCAGGCACTAAATTTGGTATAGTAGCCTCTGCTAGAAGCTCTTAGGCTAATGTAACAAGGGGATATGCTTGGAATAGGTTTAATTTAACTAATAATTCTATAGGGGGTCTCTTATGTCCTTGTCCCCTTTTTCTAGGTTTCCTAGTCCCTGTCTCGTCCTAATATATTCCGGAGGTACCTCCGTACCTTAGTACCGTTATACCTTACTACCGAAGCTACCTATAGCTTATCTAGGACTTTCCTTAATAGGTCGCCGAGGTAGCGGCCTTACTACCCGATATTATCCTCTTAATCCTTATAACCTAATTATTAATATAGGGCTCTATCCCCGTATAATATTATCCCTTTTCCTCGGAAAAGTTCGTTTCTAAGCGCGGGTTAGGTACCTAGGTTCGTTAGTTAGTAGGTTTATTAGGATTTTATTAATAGAATAACTTAATAGCTTCTTTCGTTCCTTCGGTAGTAAAGTATTTCTACGGTTCCTAAGTTTAGTAGCGCTTAGCCGGCTAGCCTTTTTACTTTATTAAGTACCTAATAACCTTTCCGGTCCTAGCGGAATCTAATACCTTATTTACTTCGTAGTCTTTTGCCTCGATCGGGGCTACCTCTCGTAGGACCTAGTTAGGGTTAGGTAGTTCCTAATTACTAGCGTAATAGGATTCGATAAGGAATACGTAGAAGGTACTATAAATGCGCTAGCCTCTCGGAAGCGTTAAGGTTATAGCGGTAAGCGAAACGACCTTTTAGATCTTAAAGGGGCCGAGCATTTTCTTATCTATCTTCTCTATAAGGCGCTTGGTCTTAATATTACGGGTATTTAGCATAATAAGCTATTCTACTTCTAAAGGGGGTTCCTTTTTTTTATGCTTATTTACTTATCCTTTTATCCGTTACCGTACCTTTTCTAAATATTATTTAGCTTCGTTATATACCTTAATTATTTAATAAATATAAAGGTTACTCCTTAGATTCTTAAGAATACCTAAAGAAGGGTTATATACTACTAGGTATTATCCGTAATTAACGTAAAAGGGTAATATACCGGTAGCTATTAAAGCAGTATTATTATAAGTAAATTCGGTAATAGGAAGTAAGCTTTCCTAGTCGTTTATTTCGTAATTTACGAAGGCGCGTAGGTATACTTCTAAGATTTAATTAAGTCTTTTCGTTTATCTATCCGTCTAGGGATAGAAGGCAGTACTTATTCTAAGCTTAACTTTTAAAAGCTTTAAAATATCCTTTTAAATATAGGAGGTAAATCGTAAGTCCCGGTCGGAAATAATATCTAAGGAAATCCCATATAGCCGCTAGTAATTACGGATAAAAATAGGTATTAAGTCTTCGGCTTTTTTACCGTCCTTTTTTAGCGGGATAAAGTACGTTATTTTAATAAAAGGGTTTATAATAACCCATATAAAGTTATAGCTATTAGACATTAATAAATCTATAATAAAATTCATTACTATTATTTACTATAGCCGGTAATATAGTTCCATAAGCTATAGTAATCTAAACGGGATATATCGTAGTACCTTATTCTATTAATACTCGCGACATTTCCTTACGAATTCCTTAACGGTTACTTCTAGGTTAAGCTACTAAAAGTTACGGGTAATAAGCTCCATGGTTTTATTTATACCTATATATTCCGTTACTTTAATATCGTATTTAGATTTAATTACTTTTTATTATAAGTCCTTTAGTACCTATAAACGATTTCGTCGGTAAAGGAAGCCTTCTTAAAGCTTTACCTCTTTACTGGGTTATTTTATTAACTAGGCCTAATATTCCGAGTCTTATTTAGCCGCTTTCTTAACTTATTTAACGAATTCTTAGGTCTAGGCAGATATCGGGATGCTATTTAATCGTACGCTAAAAAGTATTACCGTTAATAAGCCTAAATGTTTTAAAAAATGCTTTTCTTATAGGACCGTCGCTATCGGCTAGTCCTTAGCTCCTCCTTTTTTAAAGCGATATTATAATAATCTAAATAGAATATCGGCCTTTTTATTTTACTTCCCTAGGCGGTAGTATATTATAAAATAATACGAGAAAAGCTATTAGGCTTAACGGGCTTATCGTCGGTTTAATACCTTCGCTATAATAAAGTACGTTAGATTTTAGTAATCTAAATATACTTTTATTTAATGTTAAGTACCTTCGAAATAATATCGTTATTTCTCGAATACGTCGACGATTACTAGTAATTTCTTATTATATATTTTATAATTTATTTTCGCTAGGATAAGTCGTTTTAAGAAAAAGGCTACTAGTTTTAATCTTTCTTTATCGTTTTTTTACGAGAGGATAGCCGAGATAATAAAATCCGAAGCGTCGGCTTTAATTATTAAAACTCGATTAAGATCGAAGTATATTAGTACCGGGGCCTTCGTAAAGGTTTCTTTTAATTCCTAGAAGGCCCTTTTTATTTCGATCTTCCATTTCTATAGTTTACGGTTCCTTTCATTAGCGTTAGTAATTAGTCTAGCTATACCCGAAAAGTTACGTATAAATTTACGGTAAAAGTTAATAAACCCGATAAAGCTTTACGAGTCTTTAAGTATAGTTAGGATACGCTAGTTAAGGATAGCTTTTATTTTATCCTTAGATATAGTGTAGTGGTACGGTGGATCTAGGCTACGTAGCCTTTTCGATGTATATTTATATGGGTCGCGTACTTATATTTTCATTAGTTAGACTTAGACCTGTAGATATTACGACCTATAGCTATTTACTCGTTTCTTGCTATGCCTTTCTAGCCATCCTCGTCTTTGCCTTTCTAGTTTCTCCTTTCCTAGCTACCGTTTTTAACTAGCCGATCAACCGATTATAGCTATTTATAGCTATAATCTTAGTTAATCGGCACTGGGCCAGTTATTAGTAGTTAGGTAGCCGTTTCGTACCTCCGTTAGCGTACCTACGCTACTCTTATTTAATAGCGACCATCTAGTAGCTCGTTCTTACCTTAGCCTTAGGAGTAACCTTTTGCGACCGTTTTTGTAGTTATTAGGTTTAGGATTCGTCGATTAGGAGATTCCCTGTTTTTTTTAATTAATTAGGAGCTATTTTCGTAGCTCCAGAGCCGTTTTCGTAGCTTTTAGCCTTAGCTTTTTAGGTTAGGATTAATAGGGAGGGTAGATAACCATAGCGACCATTAATAACCACGCCCTCCTAATAGCTTTTAATTAGCTTACCTGAAAGCTCGTTCTCCGATTAGTAGGAATCCCTATCCTCGTTTCTTAGTTATCTCTTTTAAAGGAGCTATGCCCGTTTTCGTTTGGTTTTACCTCCGTCGTTTTTTACTAGTGCCTAAATGGCCGTTTTTCTCAGTTAACCTGACTCCGTTACCGCTACCACCCCTTTTTATAACATACGCTTAAAGGCAGTTAGTCCTTTCCGATCGGTCTATTTTAATTATAAGAGGCTTGCCGATAGCTCCGATTGCCCTTGTTTATCCTAGCTAGTTACGGCACCTAGGGAGGTTTTTCCCTAACCGATAGGTACTACGATGCCCTTAATTATTATACGAAGATACCGATAGACCTTATATCTACGCTATAAGCCTAATCGGGGACATACCGATTAGGATCAAGAGACCCATATAGACGATACCGCGATACGAAATAGATACGATATTAAATAAGATAGCCTAGAAATAGCTATAGGAATAGTAACGCCTAAAGACCCCTCTTATCGCCCTTACCGATATATGGTTAGTAGGAAGAGCTAGAGCCCCTAGAACCACGTATAGGGGAGGGATCGAGGATCAAGGGAAGCCCGGTAGATGCTGCCGGACGAATAACGGTTATACGAGAATAGCTAGAAATAAGTTAGGAAATAGTCGGGCATTGAACAGGATATATCAGTTAATTTATAGGATCAGGAATTAGTTGAAAAGGATCGGCAATAGCTATGGACGAGAAGGACGGAGATTACGTTGCATTAGATTTTTCACGGGATTATTTCTTTGTTTCTTACGGGAGCTACGCTTGTTTTACCTGCCCGTTATAGTTCCTATTTTCCGATTAATCCCTGTTATTTCTTAGTAGCCCTAATGGACCTAGCTCGCTCTTAGTTAATTAGGGTTAATTAGGAATAGGTTGATTAGGTTAGTTTATAGGTTATAGCTCCGCTAGCCTAGTTCTTGTTATTAGATCTTTCCTGTTTCCTGTTAATCGTTAATTAAACTGGCTTAGCTCCTAGTTAGTAACGATTGAATAGGTTTAGGATTAATTAGGTTTAGGTTTAGGATCAGGTACGGCTATAGTTAGTTACCTACTCCACCACCCACTTATTGCTATTATAATCGCCTAGTTGACTTATTTCTTCCTAACTTATCCTATTAGCCTT